GTTGGCAGAGCCATTTTTTGGAACATTTTAGCAATACATCACTGGTAATCTTACTATAAATGTATAGGGCAGTGGTTCCCAACCTTGGCAACTTTAAGACTTGTGGACTTCAACTCCCAGAATTCTCCAGCCAGCTCTGCTCTGCTGGCTGGAGAATTCTGGGAGTTGAAGTCCACAAGTCTTAAAGTTGCCAAGTTTGGGAACCACTGGTATAGGGGGATGTGCTGTTGCATACATTCTAGATGTACCCCTGAATGTTAACCATGATCTGTCATGAAATGTAAAGCTTTGTTTCCATACTTGCCAGCAGGGTTCAACATAGTCACATTGATTACTAAAGGTTTAACAAAATAAATAAATAAATAAAATGAGACGGCCATGAAAAAGATTGAAAAGTCAGGGACAGAGTTTGCCTTATATTGCCTGAAAGTTCAACCGTGTATCGTATCCCACAGCATAAGAAAACATCTACTAACTCTAGGAAGGAACTTTTCTGACCAAGAAAGGCTTTTGTGTGACCTAATAGAGTTATCCAAAGTATCCTGTGGGAGGAGTCACTGATGGTTATTCTCACGTACAATATGCCCAGAGACTGAGGTTAAAGTTGAGGCCACTCCCCTCTACTACCTCTGCATGGCTCCCGTTTTTATCTCAGTCTCGGCCCGAAAGAGTACTGTTTTTGCTGGCTCTTCGATTGGACTTGAAAATATTTTTTATTTTGCCTTTAATTTGTTCCTTTTTTTGTTCTATCTATCTGATTTTTCCCTCCTTCCTCTCGTTGCATTCCCGTCTGTGTTTGCTGTGCACGAGCTTGCTTTGTTGCTGTTGTGGGAGCCCTCAACACCACTGGCGGTTGTAGGAGGGGGCTCTGAGCCGCATGTGGGGGGGGGGGTTTGCTGAGAACCGTGACCCCCTTTTTACATCCGGGGGGGCACTGGGGGATCGGAAGGCTCCTGGAGGAGCAAGCTCATCGGTGCTCACTCTGGCATTGGAGTGCGGGATCATCGGTCGCCATCTTGGAAGGAGGTTTGATCGGCAGTCATTTTGTGGAATGCATGTGGCCAGAGCGTGATATTGGCGCTCCTTTAGCAGTGCAGCACAGCGTCATTCCCCGGGGTCTCACCGAGGTTCTAGCAGAGAGGGTACCCCCATCTTCCCCTCTCTCATCTGCACAGTCTGCAGGTCGCCTTGAGGATCCTTTGGGCCACCCGTTGCCCAGATCCAGGCCTCATTTGGCTCCTCAATCTGCGGCCCCTGGGTCTGAACTGGAGCCTCCATGTCTTTCCCTAGCTTTTCCAGTGATTCTGGGAGTTTTCAGAATGTAATTGCTCAGGCCATTGCTCAGGGAATCACCACGGGGCTGCAACAAAAATCACAAAATTCTAGATTAAGTTCTCATGGGACCGCACGAGGTCATCCAGACCAACCCGGCACATCAACTGCCCAAGAACACAAATCAGTTTCCCCTTCAACTACCCATTTCTCAGCAGATGCCACATTGGATGCAGTTAAGTACTCTTCTAGGGCTCTGTCCTCCATGGTGTCCAGGTGTCTCCTGTGGCTTCACAATTGGCAGGCGGAGACCAGATCGAAATGGCATCTGGCATCGGCTGATTATGTGGGAGAAAAGTTGTTTGCCACTTCCCTTGACTCCATCCTTGTAGAAGACAAAAATAAACACAAGGTCTTCCCTTCCACAACCAAGCGCTCAGATCAGCGCCTAGCACCTTACCCCAGGAGGCCACCTATCAGCCTCCTGACCGGACTTCCAGCAGCCGAGGTATTCTGCCCCTAGATACCCCAGGCAGGGGGACAGGCAATACTCTAGGGACAGGCACAGGTACCAGCAGCCCACCAAGCGTCCTTTTCAGGGGGTGGTGGCCGTCCCTACCACAGAAACAAGTGATTCGGGCTCGATTGGCGGCCACCTTACCTTGTTTGCGAATCACTGGGATTGCATCACATCTGATACCTGGGTCCTTCAGACTGTTAGGTTTGGTTTGAAGTTAGAGTTCTGTTTCCATCCTCTGAATAGATTCCGCCTCTTTTCTTCCTCCAGGAACCCGGTCAAGCGTTCGCTCATGCACAAGGCTATTCAGCATCTGCTGGATATCCGAGCAGTGGAGCTGGTTCCGGAGGAAGAGAAGGAGTTGGGCTTTTATTCAAACTTGTTTGTATTTCCCAAGAGTCCGGGGGGTGAAGATTGATCCTAGATTTAAAGCTGTTAAATTCTAGACTGGTTTATCACAAGTTTAAGATGGCGTCCCTCAAGTCCATCCTGGAGGGGATTAAACAGGGGAACTTCCTGGCATCCATTGACCTCACGGAGGCATATCTCCGTATCATGATATCCCCAGAGCACCACAAGTTCCTCATGTTTTCTTACAGGGAGTCCATAGGGCTCTCCCTTTTGGCCTGGCTTCAGCTCCCAGAACCTTCACCAAGGTGCTGGCTGTTCCAGTTCACTTGCAGTGCTACCTTGATGATATCTTAGTTCAAGCTGCAACTGCGGAACTGTCCAAGGGTGATCTGGGTCGCACAATTAATACCTTGCAAGCCCTGGGATTCTCAATCAATTTTGAGAAGAGTCACCTGGTTCCCATCACTAGGCTTCAATATCTAGGGACAGTCATCGACACAGTGTAGTGTATGGTGTTTCTTTCCCAGGAGCGCAGGGACAGTATTGTGGGGTTGATTAAACAGATTCGCAAGGCATGTTCTGTTCCCATAGTTCTTCCCTCTCAGCTCTTGGGCAAGTTCATCTCATGCATCTCGATAACGCCATGGGCACACCTCCATGCCAGGGAGCTGCAGTGGCTGCTGCTTCCACACCAGAGAGACGGGACAAGTGATTCCATCTTCAAGGTCCTGGTGCCGTCCCAGGTATTCCTGTCCTTCCGTTGGTGAATGTCCCCAGCACTGACCAAAGGTTCCCTGTTCAGGGAACCAGACAGGTTGGTCCTGACGATGGACGTAAGCCTTTTTGGTTGGGGACCCCACCTAGAATCCCAGATAGCCCAAGGCCGGTGGACACCCTCAGATCTACGAAAGAACATAAACTGGTTGGAACTCAGAGTGGTTCACTTGGCACATCGCCACTTCAAGGGGATAGTCAAAGGTCAGCATGTACTGGTCCAGATGGACAATGTTGCTGCCAAGGCCCATGTCAACAAACTCGCTGGCGCTGCGAGATGAGGCAGTGTGACTGGATAACTGGGCAGAGTGAAATCTTCTCTCGATTCAAGCAGAACACATTTCCGGGTTGGAAAATCAACAGGCAGACTGGCTCAGCAGGGAGATGGTGGACCATGGGGAATGGCAGCTGCATTCCAGCATTTTCGAGCAGATTTGTCGAAGGTTCGGTCGGCTGACAGTGGACCTCTTCGCCAACCTGTCGAATGCCCAGGTCCAGAGCTTCATCTCATGGTTCCCAGCTCGAGGGGCAGTGGACGTTGATGCCCTGCATTGCAGATGGCCAGTGGGCCTCCTATACCCCTTTCCCCCTCTCCCCGCCTTCCCGGGAACCTGAGGAAGTTAATGCTAGAGAGGGCAGAAGTGATTCTAGTGGTGCCCTATTGGCCCCAGTGACCCTGGTTCACAGACCTGGTGTGGCTTTCTGTCCTTCCCCACTTGAGGAGTCGATAAGGGAGGTGGCTCTGCACCAAGGGAACCTGCTCCATCCAGAGCCTGAGTAGCTTCAGTTGACTGCTTGGCACTTGAGTGGGAGCAATTGAGAGCGGCCCATTTTTCAGCCAGTGATCAAGACTATTAAGGCATCCTGAAGGCAATCTACCCCCCGCATTTATAATATGACCTGGTCCACCTTTGAAACCTGGTGTCAGTCTGCACAAGTGGACCCAGCGTCGGCTTTGGCACCACAGGTGCTGGAATTCCTCCAGGATGGCCTGAAGAAGGGTCTAGCCCACAATAACCTCAGGAGACAGGTTTCAGCATTGACCAGAGTCCTTGGTGGGGGGCTGTCGCTCCCTAGCACAGCACCCAGTTATTAAGAGGTTTCTTAGAGGGGCAGCTAATCTTAGATCCCCTGTGGTGCACCGGTTTCCCACATTGGACCTTTCCACAGTGCTCCAAGCACTGCCTGGGCTCCCTTTGCGCCCTTGAGGACAGTGATCCTTCAGTTCCTAACCTTTAAGGTTATGTTCCTGGTGGCGATTACCTCCGCCAGGCATGTATCTGAGCTCAATGCGCTTTCATATACGGCGGACTTGTGCACATTTTACGACAACAGGGTCGTCCTGAGGCTTGACCCCTCCTTCTTGCCCAAGGTTAACTCTCCGTTCCATAGGGTTCAGGAGGTGGTTCTTCCGGATTTCTGTCCGGCACCCTCTAGGGACAGGACATGGTCCTGGCACCGTCTGGATGGGGGAAGGGCACTGTGTATTTACCTGAAATGCACTTCTCCTTTCAGGAGATCAGAGGCGCTTTTCGTCTACTTCCGGCCTTCTACCCTAGGGGCAAGGATGTTACCAGCTACCATCGGCAGATGGATCAGGCTGGCCATCACTAGGGCATATGAGGCACACAAGCTTCTGGTGCTGGCTGGCATCACGGTGCACTCCACGAGGAATGTGGCCACATCTGTGGCCTGGTCTACCCAGGCGCCCATCGAGGATATTTGTACAGCTTCCGCCTGGGCTTTGCCCTCTCCTTTCATCAAGCATTAGAGGTTGGATGCTTATGCTTCAGCTAAGGCCTCTTTCGGTAGGAGGGTACTGCAGGGAGTGCTGGACACTCAAGGGGCTCAGGCCCAATGATTTCCTCCCATGGACATCTAGCTTTAGTATGTCCCATCAGTGAGTCCTCCCACAGGATACTTTGGAGAATATCAGTTGGTCTTACCTGAACTGCATTTCTCAAAGGTCCTGGGAGGTGAGTCACTTCCCACCCGTATTAGTGCGCTGGCTAGCGCATAGGTTCCTGAGCTAGGTTAGTGGCTTTTGGTCAGTCAGGGTCAGGATGGTTGGTGTTGTCTTTCCTATAACCTGCCTTTCCAGGTTCTTCCTTGGAACACTGACCTTCGATTAAACTGGAGCCATGCAGAGGAAGTAGAGGGGAGTGGCCTCAACTTTAACCTGTCTCTGGGCAGATTAGACGTGAGAATAACCATCAGTGACTCCTCCCACAGGACCTTTGAGAAATGTGGTTCAGGTAAGACCAACTGACATTCTCATTGTTGGGAAAATTATTGATTATTCGGAGATGAATTTTTCATCTGGCTTCTGGCAAACAGCAGATAAATTTAAAATTCATCTGTTGCTATATCCTACATACAATCTAATAAACATTCAGGAGCTTCTCTTGTGAAGTTTGAAAAGACTTGAAATGGATTGTTTTTTTTGTGCTGTTGTTTGAACAGGACATGCTTGGTGATTTGTTCATTCCCATGGACACGCCAGAGGCCCAATATAGAGGTTTTCTGAAGGGGCTGTTTGGTGGAACTGGTGGAACACTTGACCGAGAAGATCTGTGTAAGTGTTTTTCCCATACAATGTATCACAAAAAAAAAAAAAAAGGAATCAAAGTAAAATATAGAAAATGGAAATAAATTGAATATTGTGATAGTATGACACTGACCTTTCTGAAACGGTTGTTCAATATAATATAATATAATTTATATATGTATTTAAATGTTCTAGAAAGTTGCTATGTATCTATGTGCTAAAGGCTACAATGGAGGTACTGAATAATGCCTATTATGTATCCAAAGATAAATATACATTGTATGAATTTCTCATCCAATGATTCCTACAAAAAGAGGGGGGGAAAGATCAACCCAGATATATGCAACTAGTATTTTATTGTACTAATGTAAGGTCAATCTGAGGAGTCAAAAGCCATCAGTTACTTGCATGAACTTAGTAAAGTCTCATTGTCTGACATCAATAATGCCTACAACTTTCTATTGCATTCAGTATATTCCATTCATCTTAAGACTGACTTCAGACCTCATGGCTCAAACATCTGGCCTAATTTTTGAACTTTCTTGCTTCTCCATTCCCTGCTTTTTGTTACATGTTGCCTGATGAAGAGTTCTTGAGAACTTGAAAGTTTGCATACTCTTCTGTGCCATTTTGGGACAAAATAAAGGTATTACTAGACTCTGGGATTTATTTCATGGACCATATGGGTATATTTACTTTTTATTCTTTTGAGGTTGTGGGGGGGGGATTCGTTGTATGTTGTACCCTTAACTTACTGCAATATAGTATTAATTGCATATACTTGGGTTTCTTGATTACAAAATGATCTGATAGGTGCACAACACACGTTTTCTCCATCTATTGTCCCTAATTTCATCATGAATAGTTTCCCCTAAAATTAAATTGGGGCGTGGAAAGATTACTGTATGTTGGTTGTCTTCTACCATCTGGGAAGAGCCAGTGATTCAAGAAATATACCTGATAAAATTCACAAATAACCTGAATATCTAGAGGACTCTATATTGGAGAAGATTGTTCTGCAGAGTAAAATTCTAGTGAAGAGATTTATCCCATTCAGAATAACATATTTTCCGAGAATGGAAATGTTTTCCCATGGTAGCCATGATTTGTGATGACACGAAGCAGTCCTTTTACAGATATTCCTGAAATATCTCAATAAATAGTACTTATTTTGTACAGTTTATTCTTTATACTATAGCCCAAAAATGGTGGAGTTCTTAAAAGAAGTTATTAAAAAAAACATTGCAAACAATTCCAATGAAGAAATTAAAAAAGGAAGGCACCAAAAGAAGTAAAAGCACAAAACTAAAAGAAAGTAATATTGGGTAAAAAGTGGATATTAATAGCACAAGAGCAATATTTGAAAATTTCACCAGTCCTCTGGGCTCTGGAGGTCTACTAACACAACCAGATCTTAAGGGACCTCCAGGAAAATTTTTAAAAAAGATGCCAGCTTCACTTTGAGATAAAGCAGGGGCTACAGCAGAGAAGGTGCCTAGGACCTACCAAATAAAGTACTCTAGTAGAAGGGACCCACAGCATGCTGGATCTAGTAGATGTAATTGGGAGGTGTGGTCTCTCAAATAGCTCAGTTAATAGCGAAATGGGCGAAGATAACAGAATTACATTTAGCAAATCACATAGGAGACTGAAAATATCAATTAGAAATATATCAATTAGTATATATCAATTAATATCAGGATCTGAAAAAACAATCTTGGAACAGTAGATGAGTGCAAACTGTATATGACTCAGCAGTGTGTGGCATAATTATCAAAAGGAAAAAGCAATTTTAGTCTGTATTTAAGAGAAGTATAGTTTTAAAGACCCATAATGACGTGTTATTCTACTTGGTCACATGTTACCTCAACTACCGGTATATTGGCCAGTTACAGACACTATGCTTTCAGAAAGTCACATAAACAGATTCAAATATGAACAGAAATGAACAAGGGACTAAACACCCCCTCCTACCAATGACTGAAAGCATTGAGAATTTTTAATCTTCAGAACTGGCAAAATATACAATTTTGAATTATTTGAAAACATGCCAAATGGAAGTAGAAATTTGATATCTACATCCTGGGAAGACAGGTTCTAAATTCATGTTAGGGGAAAAACATCCTAATCTCAAGTGGAACTAATTATCAAAGGAATTCCATTTAAAGGAATACATTCAAATGGAATTTAGACAGCTATCTGTTGGGAATGCTTTGTTTTGGATTCATGATGGCCTAAAGTACTTCTCCCAACTCTACAATTCAATAATGCTTTGATTCTGGATCTGAATGGGAATTCTTTATATAATCTACTTCATCTATTGGCATAGACATAGGCAGGGAAGTTTCAGGAAACACAACAAAATGCTTTTAATTCTGTTCCATTTCCAGTTGGCGAAGCAACATCAGGAAAAGCATCTCGTGCGCTTGCTCAGCATATTCCCGGATCAATTGAGGGTGTGAAAGGAGCTGCAGGAGGTGCTATTGGAGAGCTGGCTCGTGCACGCCTTGCTCTTGATGAAAGGGGACAAAAACTTGGTGAACTAGATGAAAAGACAGCAAGAATGATGTCAAGTGCAGAGGCATTTTCCAAACATGCACATGAGGTGGGTGTTGATTCCGGAATAGCATTTCTTACTTTTACTGTGCATTGAGATGAGGGATACCTTTGAATTGATGTATTTGCTCCATTAGGCAGATGGACATGTAAATCAGATTTCTTTGAGACCTTCTTACCTATTTTGGGCCATATTTAGTGCATTTAGTCTTTTCCTTAATCCAGCAGCAGTGATTGTGGTGAACAAAAATAGTTAAGAAAGAGAAATTGTAATAAATGAATGACTGACAAGCTGGGATAGAAACTGTTTTAACAGCACTGATTCTACTTTTCAAAGTAGGTTTTTTACAGGATTGAACCCAGTTTTCAGTTGGCTAACCTGACTGCTACTAATCTTCTCTTCAGTTTTCTGCTGTGTAACTTCTAGGGATGCCAGTATCTCTGTGCTGCCTGTGTTATAATCCTTCATTTTAAATCTGATTGAGAATTGGCTGATGCGCTGCCCACAACTAACCCAGCAGCCTCACCCATTGTCTCTCTCCAACATTCAGAATCACTTGGAAAGATATATGACTCTTTAGCAGAATTAATACAAACAATTGCTTTCACTCCTTAATACCTCCCCAAACAGAAACTTGGTAAATGTTCGTAGGGGGTCAATGAAGGGTACAGTGGTGCTTTAAGCCTCAATTGGTAGTAAACATGTCTTTTGTCTAATATTAGCAAACCCTTCCCCAGGCACTCCCCACCCTTTCCTTTATGGCTCTAATAGCAGCAGTATTCCTGGTCTTGGTCAAGACATGTTACATCAATTCCCCATTTTTTTTTTCAAATATCTGATCCAGCATAGTTTACAAGTACCCATATAGATAGGCAGTTACTGGAAGTAGAGGTTTAGGGTTCGCACTGCAGAATGTTAGGATGAAAGGAAAACATTCATATCTCCATGTCACTTGAATATTAGTATCTCTATTCTTTCAGGTAATGGTCAAATACAAGGACAAAAAATGGTACCAGTTCTGATTTTCAACTGGGAAGCTGTCTCTGAATGTGCTGTATTGAGACATTAGTGGGAGAAGCTTCAACAGATCAGCTTCTTGGCAGAAGCAGCTCTTGTTCCGTGCCGTTTCCTCTTTCCCTTTCTTGTCCCAGAGAGTCAAAGAAGAAGGTAGTTTTCCAAGGCCACTGCATAATGGATTATTTTCCAAGTGATCAATATCTAACAGGCAAAATTTAACTGGCTTTGAATATAAGCTGTGGAAAGGATAATTCCTGGTTTGAAGCAGCATGTATATATTAGATTGTTAATGCAGTTACATGAACAAAATTTTGCATGATTAACTGGCTTCCTATACAAAAAAAGCAAAGCATGCTATGACTAAGGAAAGAGGTTTTATTGTTATGTTCTACAAATACCCAGACTTTTTAAAACATTTCTAGCATGTTGCTTTCAGCTGAAAATAAACTGCATTTCTCTGATTTGACATTTTCCTGTCTGCAAATTTAGTTTGAAAACAGTCATGCATTTAATTAGTTAACAAATAAAGTCACATAAAGTTTAGCGGCCAAACCTTTGTGCTTTCTTTATGAGATGTCTAGTATTTTTAAACAGATGTTACTATTGTATCCAGTATTACATATATTCCTTAAGTTTGTTCCATCGAAGTTCCAGATAATTTTGCAACTTTTCCAAAGTTCATGGGTTATATGCTGCATTATTATCCAAAATCACACATTTTTGTCTTAAACTTTCCTTAAATCTGCACATTTTGTAAAGTTTTTGAACTGAGAAATATCTTGATGCAAATTGTGGTGTATTCTTTGAATTATGTTTCTGGTTTCAATGGACTTGAAAGAAATCTGACTGATTTCTCCAATAACGAGAGTCTTTGCTTCTACTTTGGGAACTGCAGCAAAAATTTATAAATAAACTATACAAATTACAACTAGTGTTGCTTTTTTTCCATTAATTGTAGTAGAAAACATATCTAGTAAGCAGGTTATATAAAGACATAAATTTCATTGATAAAAGGGATTGCAAGTACCACTTTTGGGAAATCCCCAAATTAGCTCACTGGGTACTAATATAGCCAAGAATGAAGTGAGGATAAAAAGGCTTTTTAAAAAAAAAAAACAACAAAGGAGCACACTTCATAAAGGGATGGATAACATTTTGACAACAAAGTTGGTGCCAAAACATTATCCCTTCCACAAAAATCTTTGTTTGACTGAGAGCTTCTTGATGCATCTACCAAGGAACACCTAGTCTCTCCAAAGAGTAAGGCAGGCCTGAGACAAATAGGTTTATCTGCCAGTCAAAGATGCTGAAGTTACTAAAAGCATAATTCCAGTTTGGAAAAAATGGAACAGAAACCATGCTGTCTAGTAAAAAACCTACTGAATGAACATCTACAATTCACAAAGTCTGTAAGTTGATAAGAGAAGGAAAGGGATTTTGAAAAATAATCTGAAATTCTAAGAAGTCTAAAGTCTGAAATGAACTGAGGCTGATGAAACTTTCAAAACAAAAGGAAAAGCAACACTGAACCAAAGAACATAACAAAAGGACCACAAAATGATGACAGGTTAGGTGGACTGCTCTACTGTATAAAGAAAAGGATATATGAGGGTGTAAAATAGTTTTATAAAATTGTGCGTAGAATGGAGAAACTTATTAAACAAAATTGTCTAGGTTTATTACATAACCAGGGAATGATCTGTTATCTGTTATCACATTTGAATATGCAGTTAAGCATTGTATGGTATTTAAGCCAACAAATGTTGATGTAAATTCTAAGCAAGTTTTATGCTTATATAAGAAAACAAATATAAAAAATAAAATAAAATGGATTTATTATTTACCATTTAGTAAATGAAAATTATGATTGAGAACTTTATGGTTACTTTAATTTAGGATGTGCTACAAAATTAGGGAACTGGTCTGGAAGCAAGACAAATAGAAATTTAAAATCCTCCTTTGTACAGTTTAACTATGGATTATACTATCATAAGTTTGGATGGTAATGATAAAAGTTCCTTTAACAAAAACACTTTTAATAAACAATAAAAAGAAAGATAAATTGTCATTATTTCAGTGTTTATAGATTTTCCATTCCAGATTTTCCAAATACTGGAAAATGCTTCAAATCAGTGCTTCTTAATTCAGTTCATGAAGGTACTTATTCCAGCTGTGCTTTGGGGATATTTTCATCATGGACCAACATGATTATTTATGTGCTTTGAAAATTACTAAATTGGATTGCCCTGAGCAGATTTCCTCACTGGACAATTATTTTCTGTTTGTGAAGGAGTTAATTTTTAAGATTCTAACTTCTTTGTCTACTAAGTTACTCTACATTTGATCAAGCATAACTAATCTTTTCCTTAATGGATCTCCAGAATTATTCTGTGACTCAGTTCACTTATTTCTCTATCTCTCTATGAGCCTCTGCTTTTCCAGAAAGATGCAGATTTCATGGTTACAGAATTGGTGACAGAAATCATTGCTCATAGATTTGCTAAGCCATGGTTCATTTCATCATGGTGAACAATAAGCCATAATACATTAACATGGAAAACAAAATTGAAAGACTCTATTTTGTGAACCAGCCAGTGAATGTGTGTGTGTGTGTGTTCACACTGATTGGTTAATAGGAACAACTGTCCTCAAATTTTGACCTTAAAGAATAGCACATTATCTAATCCTAGATGTTCCATTATTTCCAGTAATGTGAATCAAAATTTGAAATTGACCATTGGCTTACCTGAAAGGTCCTTTTCTGTACGCTGCGAGGAGTCCAAGCATGGACTAAATTCTGTCTGACTGCCCTGGACTGAATTGAAAGATCTTTAGCCACGCCTCCTTTTCCGGTTCTTCAAATTTTTCTATGAAGGTGTGGACCTGTAACACTGTTCAAATGTGATTCCATTGAGTCTGAACTTAGTTCAAGTCATGATAGATTGTAAAAGTCAAGTCCAGTAATGAAGTCACAATCCACATCAAGAAATGCAATTTGTATTACACACAGAAGCTGTGAGAGAGAGACCTTAGGGCGGGGTTGGACTCTCCTCGCAACATACAGAAAAGGACCCTTCAGGTAAGCCAACAATCATTTTCCTGTACCCTGCTTGGAGAGTCCAAGCATGGGACATACCCAAGCTAAATGTTACTAGTGGGGGAAGAACCTGATTCAATGGTCTCTCCAGCGGAATGAATACCCTGAAGGACTCATCTTCCAAAGGCTGCTTCTGCTGATGCAAACTTGTCCAATTTGTAAGCACGGACAAACTGGGTTAGTGAAACCCACGTAGCCGCTCTGCAGATCTCTATGGGTGCTTGTGTCGCCCAGGCTGCTGTGGACGCGGCGCTCCTTGTAGAGTGAGCCGTGATACGTCGTGGTACCTGTTTAGACTGGAGCTGATAGGCAAGAGCGATGCAAGCATGCAACCATTGGCCGATGGTGGCGGAGGTGACTTTGCGCCTCATGATAGCAGGTTGAAAGGAAATGAAAAGCGATTCCAATCGCCTGAACGCTGCAGTGCGCTTGATGTATTTGCGAATGGTTCGACGCACATCCAGCTTGTGCCATCTGCGTTCCGTAGGATGCCTTGGGTGTGGACAAAAGTCCGGAAGGATGACTTACTGGCTCCGATGAAACCAAGAGTTGACCTTCAGGAGAAAAGAAGGATCCAAGTGGAGAATGACCTTGTCTGGATGTATGACGCACAAGTCCTCCTTGACTGACAAGGCCGCCATCTCCGAAATCCTACATGCAGAGATGACCGCGGTCAGGAATATTATTATTATTATTATTATACAATTGTATCACAGCGGCCAGTTGTTTCGCCGGATTTGGCATTGGTTACTAGTCGGGCCCCACCCAGGGGCCTAGGACGTCGTAATAATAATAATAATAATAATAATAATAATAATAATAATAATAATAATAATAATAATA